CGAACTAGATTAAAAAAACATCGTGGAGTGTTTAAAGATTTGTAGTGGCAAAACTTCTCAAAAACTGCGAAGCTTGCGAACTTTTTCCCCATTGCACAGTGGTTGAAAAGTCTAGTTTGACGCTCTTAATTAATAGTACCGTGGAGAGGGGATTTAGAGTAATTACGTCTTGAGAAAAGCTGATGAGTATGATATGATTTATCTTTTGAAGGTATGGGTTTTGTGATCCCCCTAAAAGTGAAATGAAAAATTTATTTTTTCACAAATGGTTGACGTCTTTAGTAAAATTGTAGCAAAAATAATTACAAACAAGTTTTCTGAAGACATAAAAGTCGTAAATTTCGCTCAAATCGAGATAGAGAGCGTTTTTTGAGGACGGACCCCCCAAAAACACGTATTTTTTTTATCAAAACACATATTTTCTTTAATTTATCGTCTTCACTATGTTCAACAAAGTTGGTAAGCCATTTCATCTACTAAACGTTCACGAACACTTGTTGTGATCTAACGATGAATTGAAAAATTTAAAAGAAATTAAGCACTACCAGATAATGCCATTTTACTTCAAACTCCTGCTCTCGTAGCTTCTTCTGCTGTTCGGTTTCTTTGGCAGAATTAGTCTCTCTCCTTCGCTTGGCTTCCGCAGTTCTTCTATCTTACATTCTTTCATATACTTTCACAATTGCTTCACGCTTGATGAAAAACAGTGATGAGCACTATGCAAAAACACTTATCGACTCACAAGTTTAACTGAATATGACAGATTTTTTCGTTCTGGATGCTTCAGATTTGCCTTCTAGGAAACGTTTGAAAAGAAAATGTGCAGTTCTTGCATTTTATAAGCTCTGAGAAGAGGGAAGTTTGTTTATGGAGCCGGTTACTATGGAAACGATTTTATTACGCGGTATAAAACACAGTATCCCCTTGTTGTTGACATGACTTCTATAAAGCCTATCAAAGGGTGTTTGTTTTGATCACAACTCCCCAGCAGACGGTCGTGGACGGACAAGTTTACCACTATTTGAAAGCTCTCTTAATATAGTTTTAGATACATTTGACCTCATCTGCCCTCCCCTTGGCTAGTTTTTGCACCTTGCTGTTGGTGGGCGGGCTTAATTTCATGCTTTATAGTGGAGTGTTGGAGACGGTAGGTTTATGGTCGGCGTTGCTGGCTCATGCCGCGATAGAATGGCGACATGGGCAGGCGATGGGGATTACTAAGCTTCCCCTCTCTGATAAACCGCTGCATGAGAGAACCAAAGATCTAGTCTAGCAGTGATAGTATCACACTTGTTACTCCTTTTATTGAGAGCCGCGTCGTAGTACGCTTACGTATAGGCACTGACGTTGGGTGTGATACTGGCGGGTTTTGCCGCAAATCACTCTTATTTTATTTATTTTTTACGCAGATAGATTTATTTGGGTTTGCAAGGGAATTATACTATTGAAATATTTCAGAAAGTGCCCATTGGTGCTCCTTCTATTTGCGTGACAAGCTTTCATTGTTGTTTTCATTGAAGTATTACTCAGAAAACAATGTTAAACATAATTTTTGTACATGGTATTGTAACTAATCTTATATGTGCTTCATTTTGATTTGGGATAAGTGTTTGAACTATGGCTCGGGATTTCCACTGCGGTGTGCTTCTATTGTGACATACCCATATGTATTTTTGTGGGGCCACATAGTGGAAGCGTGAGAGCGTAGTTGGAACATTTACCCTATACAATATACAATTTAAAATTAGCTTGGAAACTAACTTCAAAGTGAAGCATTTTAGTCACTTGAAGGTGTCATCTGGGACGAACAAAGATATAAGATAAGATATGTAAAAGCCAGAAGTACTTGAAACACGTTAAATTGTAATTTAAAAGCATGGGTTATGTAGGTAGATTAGAGATTTCAGTTATTTATTAAATAAACTTCAATTATAGAATTCAGAAAGTTAATTAACATAAGAGATAGGACGCGGGGGGTCCGCTTAGGGAGGCGACTAGCCTATGAAGTTGTATAATAAATCTTCCTATTTAGTGTATTTGTTAATTACAGACAATGTCAATAGCGAAAGTCATATCTTCAACCAGGCGCTTACGAACAAGTGAAATTTTAGGAAAGATGTGTTAAATATGTTGATAGGTTTGAAATAAGAATTAGGATTGTTGTGCTTTAGTTTTCGGTAAGGTATGATGTGTCAACAAAGCCCTTTTGAGCAAATTTTCAAACATCAAATTGATTGAGTGATTTATTGAAAGACATTGAGTTGCGAAAATTGACAAGTCATACATCTAACATAGTAGTAGTAGCAGTGTCGCATAATCTTATCACAATTGCTGCAAATAGTGCCTGAGGGGCCAGCAGGGCTGAATACGGATCAAAACTAACATAACTACTAACACTAAAATGATCCCGGAACTAACACTTATCCATTGCACTTTTAGCTATTTACTAGTTTTATTTTTCTACTAAGTCATATATGCTTCTTTCTATTGTTTGGATCAAGTACAACTAATACTAATCTACCTTTATGTATGTTTTACTCCCTTTTAACCCATTATCTTTATGAATGGCGAATCATATGACGTGAGACACGTACAAGCTGGAACTCAAAGAATTACTTCGAACAGGATGTCAAACAAATTCAGGACCAATCCAAATGAGACCAGAAACCAACAAAGCATCGGGGAGTTATATATTCTGGGAGAGGTATTTGATAAATAATCAAAAAGTGGTAAGTTAAAATCAGAGCCAAGGATCATGAGAGGTAATTGTCAATAATTCATTAATTAGTAGAAATCTCGATAACTTTTTCAAGGGAGCGTATCGGCTTTTGTAGGCGGTGCGTTTGGTCGTCGATTTGGCTTAACTGGCACTATCATCAGATAGGGGAAATTTTTCTCTACCTGCTGGTGGCGTTGATAAGCGTGTGCGAGCTGCCGGTTGCGCCGGATCGACGATCGGATGCATTGTTTGCAGGAGCTGGTGCTTCCCTTTGAAAAAGTAATCGAGAAATAACCATATTATCCTGTAATTGATATTACTATTTTTATATATCAATGAAATTAGTCATGACAGAGTAACAGATGGGGAAGGACAATAGACAAAAGTTGACACAATAAACAAGACAAGTGGGGGTTAATACACAAGACAAAATGACAAAATAAGTGACGACAGAAGACAAGACTGGGACAAAATCAACATTAAAAAAAAAAGAATGCGCAATTATATTATCAAAACTATTTGGATCAGCACAAAAACAACAGTGACCAAATGGGCACCATAGCCTAGGAACGTCTGTGTGTTGATTTAAAATAGAGGCTCATAGAAGCAAAATTTATCAATAAAAGGGGTCCAGTGTAGAGTTTTAGCAAGTTGCTGCCACTGGATCACTACAAAAAAAAAAAAAAAAGATACATTTGACCTCATCTGCATCTGCACCGCAAGTCCAAAATGATGCAGGTATAGTATGTTCTAGAAAAATATGTATACCAATCAACTTTGTTGAACATTCTGAAGACCTAAATTTAAAGAAAATATATGTTTTGATGAAAAACGTGTTTTTGGGGATCCGTCCTCAAACAAAGCTCTCTATATCGATTTGAGTGAAAATTACGACTTTTATGTCTTCAGGAAAGTTGGTTGTAACCATTTTTTTTCTACAACTTTGCTAAAGACGTCGACATTGTGAAAAAATTAATTTTTCATTTCAGTTTTAGGGGGATTAATTCAAAAGATCAAGCATGTCATACTCATCAACTTTGCTGAAGATGTCATTACTCTAAATCCACTCTCCATGGTAATAGCCGGGTAATAGTAAGAGCGTCAAAATAGACTTTTCAACCAAATGTTGATAACATTTCGTGGATAAAGGGCGGGTTCTTCTACCTATTAATTGGGGCATCTTCCTGTTTGGGGGCTTGTCTTTTTGACCAATTGGTTGATCAAGTTGCTGGCAGGAGATTCTTGTTCCGTAGATGCGTATAGGCGACTTTGCCTATCGATCTACCCAATCCATTTTTGGCCCTGCATACAGCGACATGTTGAGGATAATTAAGCTTGATCAAGACAAACAAAGAAAAGAGCCCACTGCTGTCGGACTTAGTTTCTGTGCTACAATGGGTGGAAAACCACTATCATGCATCAAAATAGACTTTTCAACCACTGTGATTGCTACCATCGGTGGGGCAAAAGTTCGTTTTTAACAATCTTCCGAAAAAAAATCGTTCTAGCTACGAGTTGACTGAAAACAAACTCATCAAAGTTCTGTAAGAGACAGTTGTTAACCTTGAATGAGGGATCCTATGTATGGGATTAGTTTGATTCCAAATGCTTGAATTTGGAGAAATTTTAATTTTTTCAACTATGGTCGAACTTTTGCTCCACCTTACTCTTATAAGTGGAACTGTGTGCAGATTTTGTAGGATGAAGTTTTTGCCGATGATCTCATAAGCGTAGCGTGGAGAGTTTAGCAGCACATTTTTAGCTTTTTTATAATCTTATTAGGAATCCCCGCAAAGCAGTTATGTTGGTTTCCGCATTAGATACTACCACAAACCAAGCGGAGTAAACTAGTCGAATAATAAATTCCTTTTTGAGAACAGATTTTCCCTTTCCGTCTGAGGTTCTGCTGGTGTTAGCACATGAAAGCTAGCCGATAGGTTCTCAATAATACAAATAATCATAAAAGTGGATTCCCTATCGAGGCGCGTGTCAATCATCGGGTAGTGGTAAGAAGCTCACACTTAGAACTAATTTCACATTCTCCGATGCAGTACGTTATCATTTCTGGGAGTTTGATGTGCATATTTACGTTATTAGACAAACTTGACGATGTGCGAGAGGTAATCATCAAAGACTGCTGTTATATAGTTGCACTGTGACTGTGTGATTGCCTGAGAAAACAGTTCCAGTGCTGGTCCAACAATTACTGACTTCCACGTTGTCCAAATATTGTTGTTACAATATATGCTGCATTTCTGATAGATAATTTTCTTTTTCGCAGTTGTCGCAAGCACACCGGTAGCCACGGGAACATTGTTTGACCGAAACGGAGACATAGGCGGTGGAATTCGATCACGTTTTCCATTTTAGTCTCTTGGTTTTGTTTTATTAGTTTTTCATTTCTTTTGTTTTGACGTGTATCTCCGGCCGACGGGCGGATTTCGGTTGGGGGCCTTTTGTCAGGAAATTGTCACCACCCCCACCATAGAGGAAGGAGCAGCACTAGTAGCACCTTTGACCACCATCACCAGCACCACCACCGTTATCACAAACAGCATCTGAAGCATGGCAAATAGTCCAAGGGCCGGTGGCGGTGCGCAGCGACCGAATGGCGCCACTCAGAACAAGATCTGCCAGTTCAAGCTGGTCCTGTTGGGTGAGTCTGCCGTCGGAAAGTCGTCGTTAGTGTTACGCTTCGTCAAAGGTCAGTTTCATGAGTACCAGGAGAGTACGATTGGTGCTGCCTTCCTCACGCAAACAGTATGCATCGACGACACGACGGTAAAATTCGAGATCTGGGACACTGCTGGACAGGAGAGGTACGTTTTGCATTATTTGGGTGTTAATGTTCATAATGTCATAAAATCATGAATTTTGCAACTATTTTCCAGGTACCACAGTCTCGCCCCAATGTACTACCGAGGTGCTCAGGCAGCTATCGTTGTCTACGATATTCAAAATCAGGATAGTTTTGCACGTGCTAAAACGTGGGTTAAAGAGCTTCAGCGACAGGTAGGTTCATTCCATGTTCCCGACTGATGGCTCGTTCCTACAGCTTTTGCTTTCGTCGTCCATTCCGTAGGCATCGCCGAATATTGTGATTGCACTGGCCGGTAACAAGGCCGATCTCGCCAACAAGCGCATGGTTGACTACGAGGAGGCAAAGCAATACGCGGACGAAAACGGACTGCTATTCATGGAGACCTCGGCCAAAACCGCCGTTAATGTTAATGACATCTTTCTTGCAATAGGTAAGTGGGCGCCAAAGAGGGATAAAAGCGCAACAGTACAACGAAACAAACAGCTGTTCGCTGGTGCCCTTTCACTCTGTGCGTGTTTTTTTTTTGTTTAGGGGAGAGAGGGGGTGTTTTGTTTATGATTCATCATCGCATGGTGTACCGTTGGTTGTTGCTCGTTGCCACACGGCTGTCGCTCTACTGAGAATAAAAACCGACACAGTAATTGGTTTAGCGAATCCCTCCATTTTCCCGATGGAAGAAAATATAAACGTGGGTCTCGCGAAAGGTTTCAGTTCGATCGATTTTCCTATTATTCACGGACGGCGAGATTCCAAGCCTGCCGTCAACCTATATCGATTTGAACTTGACGTAGCCTCTGTATGCTTGATGATGGTAGTGGGAGGTGGCAGCAACATCGGAATGCATTCATTCCGTATTCAATCTGTTTTATTTGTGGAAGCAGTCCACCTGGCGTTCGCATAATTGTTTTTGTTTTTATTTTCCTCCTTCCTTCTCTGTGTTGTTTGCCTTTTACACGTTACCACCTAGCGCATAATGTGGTGTTGTTGAGCGACTTTCGCTGCGGACGAAATCAACGGCCGAACAGGTCTTCTTCGGCAATCCAGTTCGTTGATTTGACATAAAGTGGTAACGCGCGCCGCCTATTTGACCATGTGTGATGTAACTAATACACATGTAGTAAGATACAGCGCGTGATTCAAACGCTAGAAAAAAAAAAACTGTGGACGAGTGGACTAACTATGCAAAACGGTTTTTTGTGTGTTATCAATGCTATACAAAGTCCAGTTAAATTAGTATCTGCTCTGGAATGTTGCATATAAAATAGTAGGTAAATCACTACACATCTAAAGCGCTGTATTCATAGTATGTGCGGGAGGTTAGTTAATGATTTGATTGTATTTGCCAAATTAGCGCTATTTGAACGCAGGACGGATTCCATAATTCCTTAAGAAAATCATGTTTCAATCAGTTAGTCCTATAAGGACCGATTTTTCGACGGTTCAAAACAGACTGAGAATTGGATTGAAATTCTTTTCCAGATTCTCTAATATTCTTGCAAAATTCCCTTGAAATTATCTTCAGAATTTCGTTTGAATTCTGCTCGGAATGCTCTTGGAATATTCCCTCAAATTCACCTGGAATTCCCCGAACGATCGCCATTGAATTACCAGGAGCTTTCCTCACAGTTTCCTTTGAATTCATTACTCGCCAGAACTCGCTTGAAATTCGCACTACAATCCACCAGAATTGAAATCATTCTAATCCCGCAGGAATTCTACACAAGATTCCTCTAATTCTCTTAAAATTCTCGTCATTCTTTGATATTGTCATCAAAATTCTTATAGCAATTTTATAAAGTTCTAAAAATCTTGTTTTTTTTTTTCGAAAAGAGCCTTGAAGATTTTCCAAGGATTAGTTATTTTTGTCATGTCTGATATCTTGTGTTTAAAACGACTTGTAGACTTGCAGTATATATTTGCTACGCTGCCCATAATCGCATATCAGTCCCATATGGATAGAAAATCAAGCAAAGATGGGACTGATATGCGATTATGGGTAGTACGAGCGTATACTGCTACTGCCTTTAATCGCATATCGGTCCCATATGGATTTTTGTCAATTTTAAGATAATAACGCTGTACAATATCAATTGGCATCTATTTTCATATAATAATATGAAACTACGGACTTTGATCATGAACAATGTGAATACAACATCAAGTCAGTTTGTCCCATCAAGAAAAGTAGTCGCATACTAGTCCCATCCTGAAATTAAATCGTCCAGAGACTAAGTTACAGTTCTACTTTTTGAATCGCCATATCTTTCATTGATATAACAAACCATGCAAAATGCAGCTACTGGTTTTAACTTGACAAAATAATCGATTAATTAAATATGATTTTTCAAATATTTACATGAAAATTGCACTTCTCAACTTCAACTGTCATTTTCTCAATGCCTTTGTTCCATATGGGACTGATATGGGATTGTAGGCAGCATAATAGTTCTTACAACCCTCAATATGACCGCCAATAGTTATGGCTCTTAATTCTGATGTGTCACATGATGGATTTTGATTTAAAGAGGTTTACCACTTCCCCGAGGATACCCGGAACATGTCCGGGAGTGGATAACATAGTGCTGGTTGCTTATCATGACTCTTATGAATTTTATTTTTGAATTCTAATGTGAATTGATTTATCGCATGATGGGTTTGGCACGTTTTTTATATTGCAATAGCGTTCTATGGGACCATGGTATCTTTCTACTGTTCAATAGCATTCGAGAGGCGCTATGAAATTTGTTATAAATACCAAAACCAGTGATTAGTGTTTAGTGATCCATCTGTGCTGAAGAACGATGTTGCGGAATAAACTTGGCCGAACTTTGCAGTGAAAATTTACGCATCGGATCATGGAGCGTTGATGCTCTGGGATCTCACGAATCTCCCGCGTCATAGATAAATCAAATTGAACCGAATTGCCGAAGGTCGGAGAAGCAAACACGATTGGGATTATGCTGCGAAGGGCTGCCATCCTGTGTTACGTACACGTAAAACGAGTTTGCGGGTTTAGCTCAAGAAGCTTCTCAAAGTTTGCAATCACCAGTGGGTTCTTAATTTCACAGAGTGGCAACATACCCGCTAACACTTCGAGACTCATCGTATGAGTCGAGTGCATGTATCCTAACGCGATACGAACAGCGATACTGGATACGTTCCAGTTGGAGACCCAAAATAAGTATAAAATGAGAAAACTTGTAAAATCTTTGAACGACTGACTTGCGGTTAAGGGCAGTAAACATCTTAAGGTATATTTGATACAGGAAATTGACTTGCACATTATAGCACCGCATAGTGAGAAAATTCGGTACTACTTTTCTTAAACCAATCCGCCCCACTTTTCTGTGCGAGTTTGCCGAATACATTAACCTTTAATATGGCCAAAATCATGGGATATTTCATGTGGCCGTCATACACCGCTTGGATTTTTTTTTCGTTCATTATTGCAGTGTCAACATTTCCCCTCCCCTTGGCTAGTTTTTGCACCTTGCTGTTGGTGGGCGGGCTTAATTTCATGCTAGTGGAGTGTTGGAGACGGTGGGTTTGTGGCCGACGTTGCTGGCTCATGCCGCGATAGAATGGCGCCATGGGCAGGCAATGAGGATTACTGAGCTTCCCCTCTCTGATAAACCACTGCATGAGAGAACAAAAGATCTAGTCCAGCAGTGATAGTATCACACTTGTTACTCCTTTTATTGAGAGCCGCGTCGTGGTACGCTTACGTATAGGCACTAACGTTGGGTGTGATACTGGCGGGTTTTGCCGCAAATCACTCTTATTTTATTTATTTTTACGCAGATAGATTTATTTGGGTTTGCAAGGGAATTATACTATTGAAATATTTCAGAAAGTGCCCAACGGTGCTCCTTCTATTTGCGTGACAAGCTTTCATTGTTGTTTTCATTGAAGTATTACTCAGGGAACAATTTTAAACATCATTTTTGTACATGGTATTGTAACTAATCTTATATGTGCTTCATTTTGATTTGGGATAAATGTTTGAACTATGGCTCGGGATTTCCACTGTTGCGTGCTTCTATTGTGATATATCCATACGTAATTTTGTGGGACGACATAGTGGAAACGTGTGAGCGTAGTTGGAGCATATACCCTATATAATTTAAAATCAGCTAGGAAACTAACTTCAAAATGAAGCATTTTAGTCACTTGAGGGTGTCACCTGGGTCGAACTAAGATATAATAAATAGGTATAGGTCAAAATCAAAAGTACTTGAAACACGTTTAATTTTAGATTACAAGCACAAGTGCAGGTACTTAATAAAGCATGGGTTATGATTGATTAGGTGACTTAGAGCTTTTAATAATTTATTAATTTAGACTAATGAGATATCATAACCATCAAATGAATTTAAATAATAAACTTCAGAAAGTTTAATGACATTAAGTAGATTAACAAAAGAATTAGGATGCGGGTGGTCCGCTTAGGGAGGCAACTAACCTTTATAGTTGTAGAATAAATCTTCTTATTTAGTATTGAATTTAAAAAAAAGAAAACGCAGGCAGACCAATAGCATTTAGCAGATTAACAAGGAAAGGAATAGTTTAGGAAAAAAGTAAAAGTAGAGTTATGTGACAGTTATTAGCTTTTAAACTTTTGGAGGTATTGTATTCCCCTGAGTTTGTTGTACTCGATTACTATATAATTCTCTCAATACGCGAAATCTCTTATATATGCGATTAAAGCATTTGAGTTAACTTATTTCTTAGTGTTCAAGTACTTACATTTGTAAACAGCAATCAATGTTAATCTATGAACTAAACCATACGTAAAATCGATCTTTCCTTATGTGGTATTGATGCATGTTTAACTTTTCGCGGCTTTCGGAATCAACGCGTCTACGTCTACGGAGCTTACGCAGAAGTGATTTTCAATGCGGTAGAGCTCACCAAAAGTTTTTTTTTTTTTTTTTTGAGCTTCTGTAGTATAGAATTTGTTCGGTATGTTTCGCGAAATCTTGAAATGATTGATACGTGCGGTAAAATAACTAAATTGAAACAAAGTTCAACAGTAAAATAAGTAGAATATTTAGGGAGGAAACCAAAATTTATCAACTTGCCAACATAGGCTATCACATTTATTTTGGTGGCACTCTTTAAGTGATAATAAGTTGTTTTTTTCTCTACGGTTGTTTCGCGTGGCGTTCACAATTTGCGCGATTTTCGTATCTTACGTAATTTAGATGTTTAACTATAAACGGTTTCACTGACTCGAGGTCGTTCCTTAAGCGGTGTTGGTACAGGTTAAACCTTTGCCGACTGTCGGATTCAACGCGCCTACGTCTACGGAGCTTACGCAGAAGTGATACGCAATTCGGTAGAGCTTGTCAAACGCTTTTGAGCTTATAGAATTTGTTCGGTGCGGTCGCGAAATCTTGAAATGATTGATACGTTCTTTAAATTAACTAATTTGATACAAAGCTCAGTAGTAAATAAGTAGAATATCTAAGGAGGAAACCAAAATTAATCAACTTGCCAACATAGGCTATCACATTTATTTTGGTGGCACTCTTTAAATGATAATAAGCCTTTTTTTCTCGCTTCGGTTGTCTCGCACGGCTTTCGGAATTCGCGCGGTTTTCGTAACTTACATAATTTAGATATTTCGTTCGAAACGGATTTACTTATTCAATCAGTTTACTACGCGGATGTATCTACGCGCACACGTCACAGCATTTTTTCTATAACTATCTTGAAACAATACATACGGAATCCAGTGTTCAAGCGGCCAACATAGGCTAGTCCTTCTGCTGTATTGTCAAAGATAGAAGCAAAATTTATTCAAATGGGTCAAGTCTTGAAAATTAAGCTGTCACGCAGCTCCAGCTCGATACCAATAAAAAAAAAAAAAAAAAAAAAAAAAAAAAAAAAAAAAAATTATTAAATAAAATTATTTCAAAGGGGCGTAATTGCATTTGTAAACAATGGCTTTAGCCATCGATTTCTTGCGAATAAAAGCTTACTCATAAAGATTAATAACACCAGCAGGTAGACGAATGTTTCCTTTAACAGCTAGCATTATTGATTTGAAGGGATGGGCTTTTATTTGCGAGAAATCGATAGCTCAAGCCATTGTTTACAAAAGCAATTACGCCACTTTGAAATGTTGGCACTGATTTAGTCTTTTTTTGGTTCGTGATAAAACATCATCTAATGATTTTTTTCTGAAAATCAATGTAATTAGGGATAAAGATCAATATTAACTAAATTTATCGCCGAAATTTTATACAGTTTGGTTAAATTGTACTTCAAGCTTATGGTGGCCGTCTTACCCCGATTTTCTAAAACACGTGAAAATAAGCATACTTGGGAATGATTTTTGAATCGTTGTCCTTTCGTAAATTGATGAGTGCCAAGTGATTTACAGATAAAGGTTTTAAATAGCACCTGTGTACACAATTTTTACTTTTTTACACCCCATAATTTATGGTGGTCCTGAAAAGAACCGTTTTGTCGTGATGGTTAAGTAATGCTGGGTGTTCAACACAGATGAGGCTTGCGAGCTGTATGTTGTTTAGAACGAGGGTGATGCGCTTGGCATAGATGGCCAAAAGCGACTCACGAAAAGCTACTGAATCCGATCGGTAGCGGTGTGACTTCTTCCTCGTTCTTCGGTGAATGGACGCTCATGTGGGCTGCAGCTCGCTGTTTGCGGACAGCCTAATCGTTGTCTGGAGAACAATGTTCAACGCCACGCGCCGAATGCACTGCTGCTGCTGATGATGATGACGACCGGAACCACCACCTACGGTGATAAATAAGCACCGTTTGGCAAGACCGGATGGAATTCGATTTTAAAATCTGTTTATTTGTTTATTTGGTTCTACATCATCAGACTGGGTTTAGTCCTAATGATGGATTAAGCAATACTAAGAAATACAATATAGTCAAAAAGTAACAATATGCAAAAGCAGAGGCCATGAAGTCCAACGTAAGTCCTAATTCATAAAAATATATCACGGAATCTCTGACGCAGCGTCTCGCGTGCCAAGTCAAAATCAAATAAGGAAACGATCAAAAACCCTTTGTAGCCCATTGATAGCACCATACGAACTATAGTTTGTACGACGAAAAGGTATCCTCATCATTGCGTTGTTACGGAGTGCTCGTGGTTGAACGTTAACGTCGATTTGTTGTAGAATAGAAGGACAATCGATTCTGCCCTGTAGAATGTCTGCCACTAACAGGGTCATTGTCGTATCTCTTCGATTCCACGAAGGATCCAGGTGAATTAACTGACTTCCGTAGCTTGGAAGGCGATGAGGATCCCTCCAAGGCAATCGTCGAAGGGCAAACCAGATGAATCGTCGTTGAATAAACTCTACTCTTTGTACACTGTTTTGGTAATTGGGACTCCATACAGGGCAGCAGTATTCTAACACCGACCGGACGAGGGAGTAGTAAAGCGACTTCAAACAGTAGATGTCCGTGAAACTTTTAGCTATCCTGAAAATGAAGCTGAGCGTTCTGGATGCCTCGTCGATGACGTACGAGATATGCTGGCTGTATGTGAGTTGACAATCTAAGATGACTCCCAGATCCTTAATGTGATTCACACGATGTACGTTAACGCCTTCTAGGATATTTAACTGAATGTAATTGGATGTTTCTGTTTGGACGTTCCGTGAGAACGTGATTTGTTGGATTTACAACCATGTGGTTCAGTTGACGTTGACACCAATTAATTAGCGTTGAGTTGAAGAAGGTGGCAGTCAGCGATGGCTCGGATTCGGAGATAGATTGTCATGTCGTCTGCGAACGACAGTCGTGGACCGTCGAGGACGAAATTGGCGTCGTTGAAATACACAAGAAATATCAACGGGCCGAGGTGGCTACCTTGCGGAATACCCGAAGTGGCAGGGAACGAAGGAGATCGGCAGTCGTCGATTGCAACTTCCAACTGACGATCAGATAGATAGGAGACTGCTGTTTATACCGAGCCTATCCAGTATGGCGATCGCTATAGGATGGTTCAACTTGTCGAAGGCGGCTGATGGGTCAGTATAGATGACATCTCTTTGCATATGGTCTGTCATACTCTCCGTAATGTACGAGGTGAGACACAGAAGGTTGGAAGTAGTCGACAGCCCTGCCATGAAACCATGCTGGTCTTCGCTCTGCTGCTTGAAGTGAGAAACTAATGGTTTCAAAACGACCAACTCGAACAGTTTAGATATAGCACACAACGATGTGATGCCGCGATAGTTGTCGATGTTTCTTTTGCATCCCTTCTTATACACTGGAAACATCTCAGTTGATTTGCAGTAGGAAGGAAATACCCCACTGGAGAGGAACATTTCGAACAGAAGGCAGAGAGGAGCCACCAGGCTATCGATGCGTTGCTTGAGAAAGACGGAAGGAACTCCGTCAGGTCCAGGCTTAAATGAAGACTTCAGTTGCGAAGCCGCCCTAGTTATCATAGCGAGGTCGGAGAATATACTCGCAAACAAATGTCCTGAGGGGATGAAGCTTCTTCGCCGTTCAGTACCATAGTCGATGGAAGACCAGACTGCGTTCGTTGCTCATTCACCTAATTCGAAAAAGTTTTCGGGTGAGATCGAAGCTTCCGTTGAACATCTCGTTGATAACGCCGATAACATTGGCGACTGGTTCGTTGATACGGATGATTGATCCTCGCATAATGGTCCTTGAGTTGTAGGGTGTGGTACTTGATGTAATTTCTTAGCGTGGCTCTTTTGGAAGACTCTGTGTTAGGAAAAGCACTTTTTGCAGTCAATCGGTGATAATTTTGATCCCATTGCAACAGTTGGATATTCGTGTAATTTTCAATACCTGACCTGTGACCTATTGAAAATTAATAGTGTTGATTCTAGGAGTTCGTAGAAAAAATTACAATCGACTGGCTTGTTTAGAATCAAAATCCATACAGCTATTGACAGAGTTCAAAGTGATCAAAACCTGACCACTTTCCGTAATGCGGTCGATTTTGGTTTTTTTGAAATTGCACCTTCAATATGTTGCCGAAATACGTAATCCTACGTCAACATTCGTTTTCCCAAAAAATTCTAGTTGATGTTTTCGGATTTTCCCAGACATCACGTATCTTCATAACTTATGAACCAAGCATCGTATAAAGAACGTTGTGTACTGAAATTATAAGGAAATAACGCCTAACGTACTTCGGTATATTTACCAGATATCTCTGTTCAAAAATCTAAGCGCGGTATTGAGACACTTTAGAAACTCCGTCTTCCTACGTTTATATTATTTTTTTCATTTAGCATACTATTATAATTTCATCTCAACTGTAACAAAATGCTATTGTTTATGCATATTTCAGGTAAAAAATTGCCTAAAAATGAAGGTGCTGGACCACAGCAAAACATAAGACCTACCCAGAACGAACAGAGCCGACAGAATAGCGGCTGCTGCAGCAAGTGATGTTATTCAGCTGGTAAGTTTGCTTCTACATATTCAAATGATTTTTACTCGTCGCTTGACCAGGTGATTTCCATTTCAGTAACCGTTTTGTTAATTGTAACAAATAACGAGCAAGGTTTAAGGAAAATTGTCATTATGATGGTAGGAAGTAAGACCGATTCCAAACTAGTTATGCTATACCAAGAACAACAGTAAACAAAAATATTTCAACTAAAACACACAGAAACACATAGTGAAGCAGTAAAATCAGTAAATTATTTGAAACCCTAAACAACAACCACAACACCCATAGTAAATTTGACTATGCATTACGAGGAGAAAATATACACACATTCACACTAACATTTAGACACAGCAACACTGAACAGGTCCGCAGAATCCACACATCCTAACCACATGCAAGAACATCTTCAAATTTGTTCATTGAAGGTGAGCAGCAAAACTAAAAATCGGAACAACTATGTGAGTCCATTTGTTAGTTGTTTAGAACAAAGCAAGACCGGCAAAGTTTATGAATATAACTTTATTATTGAGAATTACAAAGAAAATAGTGCAACTCATTAAAAAAGAAAATCAGTAACAGTAATAAGCAAAACTACAGAAAACAACCAATAGCAGACCCTTTTTCGTGTTGCTTTTCTTACAAACCCGTCTTTATTTCCCATATCTTATGAATGAGAAAAGTTATGTTTTTCCCTCCCCCTTTAATATAATGAAATCTTCGTGGAAATATATTTATTGCTAAACTACAAACTTTAAATATATAAATATATTTAATAAAAAAAAAATACAATATCCATTAGTAACGGCAACCACAAGGCTAGGAATCGAACTGGAGCGTTGTGTAAAGGACGTGGTAAACAATTTCCCTCAGTTAGGACACAATTTAAATATTGCGAGCACTTTCAAACGACGATGCGCGAGCATAATTTATAGGAACGGCGGCAATGGAAGAAACACTTTTTGTATCTAGACCTATTGAAAAGAGAGGATCCCTGTTTGTTACGATTGTTTATTTTTCCCCGTAGAACACTTTTTATTTTATTATTACCCCCATATGGATGAACAGTAAAACAAATGTATGCAATTACGATATATAGTGGAGTACCGTTTAGGACAACTACCTAGAAACCAACAACAACCCAGAGCAGTTGATTTACATAATTAAATAAAAAAAACAGTACTACTAAGCTAGATTCCAATGCTTGTATTCAGAGCGGATGGAGACATCAAAGATTATTCGCATGAGTTCTGTAGCATTTAAAAGATAAACAAAACACTCATCATGTTTGGCCTTCACATTTCCGCTGCAATTTCTTTTAAATTTTCGAAAATGATGACCACTTGTCTAGGTGAATTGAGAATTAACAAAAACCCAAACGATATCAAATTTGTGTGATGAGCGAGTATAAGCGAGTCGACAAGTGATTTTTTTTCTATATATGTTTCTGTAATGACCACAAAAATAATTATGATCAAATATTTAAGATTTAAATATTACATTTTTGACTTTCTCAAGAACCCTGTCCCCAATCGAAACATGCAAATGGAAGCAAGGAAGTCACATCCGATCCGTTTCTGGTAGGTAGTAGCAACGGAAGAGAGGATATTTTTCTTCGTTATTATTCGCCTACTCTGTGTAGTGATAATAATGTAAAACGGTAAAACAAAAGCAGTGTAATGCCACACCTAAACAAACAACAGCTGAAGAAAGAGAGAACGATAAACAGAAAACAAGATAAAAACAGTTTGAACATGTAATAACCGACATTCCTTTTTTAAATCGAATTGAAATTAGTGAAATGAAAAAAACAAAAGAGAGAAGAAAATCGCAACACAATACATTGATGAGGAATAATATAATTGAGGACACTGTGGAGGTAAAAGTCAATAAAGGAACATTTGAACAAGGTAAATGAAAATTGTAAGTCCAAATACGGGAGTGTTTTGTTTGTGTTTGGTATGCGAAAGAAATCCATTACGGGGAGACGGGACAAGATCGCCACTCAGGGCAAGTGAGCACAAGGCTGTCCCATTTTTCAGCAGTGTTCTCAAATGTTTGCTCCTTAACCATAATCCGCTTTTTGTATGCCTCAATAGTCTCTATGCAGAAAATCAGCTCATTTGCTCAACACAGGAAGGACCTGGTATACTTGTTATTCCTTCAGGGTAGCAAAATTTCGTCAGGCGTATGCCGCGGATACATTTGCATGACAAACTATGCACATGAGCATTATTTGTATGAGAATTATGAGCACTATACTAAGACAATATGTACAAGTGTGACCATGGATGAGCATAAGATTTATTATACAAATTAGGCTCATGCGTATAGTTCGTCATACAAGTGTATCCTCGGCGGTAATATAATTAAAATCAGTGGTGCAACTTTCATACAAGCTGATCTCCATAATTTCACAGCACGTGAATAGTTAAACACTGAAATATCATCAAAACTCTAGGGGTAAATCAGCTATACTCTGAGCTAATATATTTACATTGAGTAACTGTGAGTTACTTGTATTTATTCAAAAAATAACTAATGTCGTTTTCGTTTTTGCGGTTTAGCTACACTGGTGTCATATTTACAAACAGCCACTATGAACAGATTTTTTTAATAGCAAGTAAGTTATTTTTCTTTATAATAGCCTTGTTGATGAGTTGATGATCCATCCAACTGCAACCCTGTCATCATCTCACAGTTATCGTCCAACACACCAGCGCAGTTGATGAGACCCCTCACACTGATAAGACGATCTTGAGCAGTACCATTGGATTACCTCTCTCCCACTACGTACTAGTGAAACCATAATCATGCCATCATCAGTGTCATCATCGTCATCGATTGCCACCGATTATACGGGAGTGATGAGGATGAGCAAACCAGATAAGTGATAAGAGCATTGAGAATTGTGCTAGTGAGAGCCGAAGAAAATCATCGCATCGACGGAGGACTGAACTACCTAAAACGGGTTGTGCGGGTCCAATGATCAGTCCACCTCAACCAGGTCACTATATTGCACGGGCAGGAGACCCACGACGGCATACGTTGTTCCTAGTTTTGGTCAAATACAAATTAGTGATAAGCTAATTAACCTTTTACTGCATGTTTTGGTGTGATAAATAAAGAGCTATGTATTATTTAACCGTCGCGAGTACTTAGTTAGTTGATGCGAAACAAACACCTCCTATTGAATTACCTGATTGAAGTGCCAATGGACGTTGTGGTTGGTCCATGCATAAAGCACCCTTTGTTTGCCGTGATGGCGGAAGGTAAAGGCCAGCCCCCGTTTAAGTCTAAGTGGAAAAACTAATTCCGGTGACCCTTACCTTACTTACCAATCAGGCTAAGGCCTTGTTGGCCTCTGCTTTCCGAAGAAGTCGTCTCCACTCTACTCGATCCATGGCCACACTTCGCCAGCCTCGTAGTCTGCGAAGGGTTCGCAGGTCGCCTTCTACTTGGTCGATCCACCTTGCCCGCTGCGCGCCTCTTCTTGTTCCTGTTGGGTCGCTTTCTAGAACCATTTTTACTGGGTCCACGCCCACCGTAGTCGCCCAATTTTTGCAATGTGGACGATGGATGGTTCTCCCAGCAGCTGGTGTAATTCGTGGTTCATTCGCCTCCTCCACGTTCCGTCATCCATCTGGACTCCACCGTAGATGGTACGCAACACCTTCCGTTCGAAAACACCAAGGGCGCGTTGGTCCTCCACGAGCATAGTCCAGGTATCGTGGCCGTAGAGGACCACCGGTCTAATCAGCGTCTTGTAGACAGTTAACTTCGTGCGATGGCGAATTTTATTCGATCGGAGCGTCTTCCGGGGTCCAAAGTAGGCACGAGTCCCTGCCACAATGTGTCTTTGAATTTCTCTGCTGGTATCATTTTCGGCGGTCACCAGTGAGCCCAAATACACGAACTCATCGACCACCTCGATTTCGTCACCGTCAATCTGAACTCTGGGTGGGAGGCTAACATTGTCTTTCCTAGAACATCTTCCTTTCATGTATATTGTCTTTGATGCGTTGATGGCAAGTCCAATCCGCCTAGCTTTAGCCTTCAGTCTGATGTAAGTTTCTGCCATCGTCTCAAAGTTCCGTGCCACGATGTCAATGTCATCGGCGAAGCCAAGAAGCTGGATGGACTTCCTGAAGATCGTGCCACTCGTGTCTATCCCAGCTCTTCTGTTCACACCTTCTAACGCGATGTTGAATAGCAGACACGAAAGTCCATCACCTTGCCGTAACCCCCTTCGAGATTCAAAGGGACTCGAGAGTGTCCCCGATACTCGAACAACGCACATCACTCGATCTATCGTCGCCTTGACTAATCGTGTCAGCTTATCCGGAAATCCGTACTTGTGCATAATATGTCATAGCTGATCTCGATCGATTGTGTCGTATGCGGATTTGAAATCGATGAACAAATGATTTGTGGGCACGTTGTATTCGCGGCATTTCTGTAGAACCTGCCGAATCGCAAAAATTTGGTCCGTGGTAGCGCGGGCACCCATGAATCCCGCCTGGTATTGCCCCACGAACTCTCTTGCAAATGGTGAAAGGCAGCGCCGGCGGCATAGAATTTGGGAGAGTACCTTGTAGGCGGCGCTCAGTAGTGTGATCGCTTGGTAGTTGCAGCAATCCAACTTGTTGCCCTTTTTGTAGATTGGGCATACGACACCTTCTATCCACTCCTCCGGTAATATCTCCTCCTCCCAAATCTTAGCAATTACCCAGTGCAGCGCTCTAGCCAGTGCCCACCGTATTTTATTAGCTCACTTGGTAGTTGATCTACACCAGTTGCTTTATTGTTCTTCAGCCGACCGATCTCCTCCTGTGTGACCCTTTGTACTGTGCGAGGAATTAATCATCGAAAATAACACCTGGAGAAAAGCTAAGGTAATTAAATTGAATGGAAATTGTTAACCCATGCCAAATATTAACATAACTTTTTGGTCAACGTTTGGTTTGACGTTCCAACCATAACGGACTAAATTGCGTTACTGCAGTAACTACTAACGCTAAGAGCGCAGAATGTAGAGTTGCCCGATAAAAATGAACAGCTATTTATTTGCTTGCATAAAGTAGGCGGCATGCTGTATTTTAGGTATTTTTATTATGTAAATTTATGTTAAATACATATATAGCGTGTGTTTAAAAAATATGTTTTACTTTCACTTAGCACTATTTATTCATTCACGACTTTTAGTTAAGCTAGTTTTCACTACATCACTCTTCAAAACTCACTAATAGACTGACTGAAGCATCTAGAAACCTAGCTTCCTTATCTAGATTTCTGAGGACAGCTGGGAATCGTCGTTTGCGTCGCAATGCCTCCGGTGTCATCGTCACGTTCCAGGTCCTGGGAACCACGATGAGGACTTGATGAACTGATCAAAACTGTTCGTGCTTCGTAGTGTCAACATTATCAACATCATGCAGTGGCGACATCTGCATAGAGCTTTTACGGCAATCTCCCAATTAATTGAGGCAATTTGTACATCCTTGATCTCTCGGCTTGAAAGCTCAACGGGAAAGTTAATTAATAAATTTATAGAGTTATAATTAACATTACTATTTGTCACTCTATACTGGGTATAATGCGCCACGTGAATTGTAGTGTGGGAAGCATAACCATCAGGCGTGAAGCTTTGTAATAATTCAATATAGAGGAAGAACATAGATTACGCCTAAATATTTGCTTTCAGGGATGAAATCAGAACTATACGCATTTTTCGGAAACAGGTTTGTTGACCTTTCATTTTAACAATTTAAACAAGAATTCAGCCATTTTCATTTAGCATATCAATTGCAATGAATTACCAATAGCCTAATCCAACATTTGGATATCATTACAGTTACATTTCTATTCACTTTGTGGATTTAATGGTGATCTTCCTTACCCCTATCTCTCTTATACCAAACCTTTTTACGTAATCTCCTTTGAAGAGCTTTAAGAGTGGGTTGAACGTTTTCCTAAGTTATTTTTTTTAATATACCCGCATGGAAGTTATTTTTTTATATGCATCTTTCTACTTTTCATGCCTACATCATAGATGTTTTCTTTTGGGAAGCATTTAAACGAAAATCTACATCAAATTTGATTTCAATCAATTGGTCACAATTCTCTTAAGATTGCTATACTTCTTAGCTTCCAATAAATTTCAATTCAATCATTGTCATCATTAAATGAAGAGCGTGTTCAGTTATTTTTTTTTAATAACAATAATTATCTCAAGTTCGTTTATTAATGTACCGGCTCAGCTTTATTCGGTTGTCACTTTATAATTAATGTTGTGTCATAAATATAACTTCATACACGTATAAATTTTGCTCGCAAAACATAAATTAAAGAACATACAAACCTACGATAAATCCTCACTCGACAGCAACAAGTCCCAATCTATATTGTTATTGTACACCTCTTGCTGCAGCCACAGTTCGTAATTTTGCTTGAACTCCTCGCTCAGCTCAATCTCTTCCGGTTTTCGTCCGTTTGTCCCGTTAGTTCCATTATTACCCCCATTGACCATATCGCCCTCAATGGGATCATCGAATTCTCTCGCAATTAGATCGGGAGCGTTCATCTGCAGATAACGCCGATTGTTGAACCGATCTACGCAATTCCTCAGAGCACATTCCTCCGCTTGGAAATCCCACGGTCGGGCATCCAGGTCGTTTCCGAACGCCCAATCGTCGTTCAACCGGTGTCTCACTTTGGCGTATATTGCGCTGATGGTTTTCATATTAGACTTGCGCCACTGCCGTCCCAGATATTTGGTTTGCATTTTGAGCAGCTTTAGGACGTACAGCTGCATCAGAGCATGACGAACCTTGAGCGTTCGTTTGAGGATCGGCGATGACTTGAATACCACCAGCATCATAATGCGGGAGTGCTTCCACTTGGTTAGCTTGTTTAAAATGCGCAGTAGATTGATGCAGGAGAATACGTTACGCCAAGAATACGGAGCGGAATCTCCGATGATTAACGATTCCGAGGTAAGCTCCGGTTGTTCGCCGATCACGCACGATGGGAAGTCCATGATGGGAATAACGTTCTTGGAACCAACGTAGCTCATGATGTTCTGGTTGAAGAATTTCAACACCAGGGGTATGCAGTTGGCAAATACCAAGTGTTGAGACATAAATTCGAACTGGTAAATGTGATTGATCTTGAAATGCTTCAAATAGAGTAGCAGTATGGCGGAAACGGCTTTGACGGTGATCTCCTTGTGTCGACTGACGTCGATGCCCAGCTTGGTGGATTGGGTTACGGTCATTCTGGGAACGAAACATAAAAGAATCATCAAGCGTGAGATAGGAAACAATAGGGTCGGCAAACTTACGGCATATCCTCCGGCAGTACATCGGCCATGATGTTGATACTTTCGGTTTTGGACTTCGAAGTCGGTGCCGCTGCTAGCAGTATCTTGAGCAACGAAATCATGTACTGTGGAAGATTCGGGAGTATTGCTTGGTATAGTATTTCGGTTGGCGTTTGCGGGATTTCGCCTTCCGAGGTGGAAATCGGATTACGGGTTATTTCTTCCTCTTTTTTGATTTGTACATCCGCAAGACTGACGTACATGTGCTGCAAGGGTCGTTGATGTTAATTTTTGCTTGTATAGGAAAACACTTTACACATTTAGGTACCTTCTTCAGTGTAAAAAATCCCTCCTTGATGGGTTGCGGCAGTCCAGCCAACGTATTGTGGTCATCCTTCAGTATGTACCCTATAAATTTGCTCCGGGACGTGTTCAGAAAGATTTCGATATCTTTTCGCCGAATTTTCGGCGCCCATGGTAGTTTATTGGTCAGTTGCTCCGGGGCGTCATTACTTTCCGCAGGCGGCGTAGTTTCATCTTTAGAAATAAACAAAAGTTATGATCCGTGCTGTTAAAGCAATTATAAGATTCTTCGAGTACCTTCAGCACCGGGAGCATCAGGGTTGGGCGCATTGGCACCATTAACCGGATCCTCGTACTGTCGGAAGTACTCCGACAGCTCTTCCTCGTTCTCGGTCGAGGGTGTTTCCATTTCCAGACCAAGTTGCTCTTGCTCATCGAGGGAACTTTGTTTGATGAGACTCTACGTGTGAGTCAAGTGAGTTGTCCGTTGAACCAGCCATGGAATCCAGAAAGCATTAGTAACGAACGTATTTGGGACGCTCTTCACGTGGGATAGATACTGATTTATTGGTTACGTGACACGAACTATTAGTTTTGTAACCACTTTATGATATCTAATAGATAGGTATGTAACAGTAATAATTATGTTTAATGCAGTATATAGTGATGGATTGAAACAACCAGTTTGTAACTATTATAGAGATAGAGAGTGTCGAACACAAGCATTAACAGTTTCGTTTTAATATTGTGGGTGTGCAATAATATCAGTATAGTGAGGTGAATTAAGATGTGACCCAACTACATCAATGATTTATGGAATGCGTACATAGGTTTTTTTTTACTTGACTCATCTTAGTCCATCTCATACATTATGATAGGTGTGAAGGATGTTTCTTATTAAGGGGTGAAAATGACGTGTGTTAATATGGAACAGGCGTTGAAATGGGATTTATCGGATTATCCAATTTTCTGGCAGGTAGTACCGTAAATCAAAATGTCTATTTCTAGCATATCCAAAAGAGCCTCGTAACAATGGTTACTCCAGAGAACGTCAAGTTCAGTGGGGTGGCTTTGGGCATACTTGCAAAAGAACTCTGCGAATAGTTTTAAGGGAATTACGAGGATAGTTCGAATGGCTTCTCGAAAATATATTTGTGAACTCCCTATACTACTGATGATTTATGTCTTGTCAACTAGAGTTATGGCCCCCCAGCCCAACGTCCTAGTTACGTCTATGTTAATACTCATGCTTTGGGTTTCACGTTTGAATGTAACATAAGATCGAAAAATTACCATGTGCATATAGGAAATTTTCATAGGTAGGGGAATTCTCGTATTCTCGTCAAAATCTAAGCAGCGAACGCACTTCTATTAGCAATTTCTCAGCGGCTTACATATGACGTATTTGTCTGTTGACATTTATCTGCTGCTTGCTATTCCATCTATTCCAATCCAAAGCATTGTCCAAAACGGTTTGAAAACGTTTTTTACAACGCTCCAAACTTCTCAGGTTAGTGTGACTATTTTCGGCAGCCTCTTTTTCTTCGGCAACCCTTGCATTTTAACTGCGTGTTACCAACAATCAATACGAAACTAACGATTTTAAATTGGCTCACCACTTTAGTAGCCTATTGGTCCCAAGCAAACGATTAACGTACCCTATTCTAGTCGAAATTCTAGTACTACGCAATGTTTGTTTTGATTCGCTTTGAAAGTTTGACAGATAAAATGAGGGGTTATTGGTTTTTCCTATGTTTCGAGGGGTGATTCGACAAGCTTGGGACCGAAGATAGTACCAGAGGTGAGCCAAAAAGTTGAGCACGTTTCTTCGGGACCTACTTGTCTTAGAGTTACCTCTATGGTGTTACCCAGCTATTCTATTATCGGCAACTCGAACTCAGTCGTATTTTGAAGTGCGCATATATTATATTTGAAGAAAAACCTGGTATAACAGGTTTGCTCAGTTGTAAAAGTGTAATCAGATTAGAGCTGAGAGACTAAGGAACCGTTTAAATACATTCAGCGCAGTGTTTTGGTAAGAACATACAGCGAAATTAACGTTTAAATTTGGGTTGCCGTAAACAGTCAATGGATACTGAAGCCATCATTTACCCTACTGTATTGACAGCCTTTTAAATTTTACAAACGACACCGTAATAAGTACCGAGTACCCTTTAAAGCTTACCGAGCACTCTGCACTATATGTATGGGAACCAGTGCTGCAAACTCTCGACAATACACGGTGATATTCAAAATTCTACTGGTCACTCATTTGAGCTAACAGTCATGGTCAAAGCAAACCATGTCAACTGTCAGTTACAATGCTGTCAGTGACGAGCATCTGCAGATTTTTTTATTGACTAAATTTGAAACGAAATTAAATGGCTTGAGCAAAACGATTACATGGAGCCGTTAAAGTGAGCAAACCCCTACGTTCTGAACTAGGGGAATTTACGTATTCTCGTCAATCTAAGCAGCGTCCGAACTTCTATTAGCGATTTCTCAGCGTCACACACATACATGACGGTTTTGTTTGTTGACATTTATCTGCTGCTTGCTGTTCTACCAATTCCAATCGACAGAATTGATCAAAACGGGTTGAACATGTTTTTACAACGCTCCAAACTTCTCAGGTGAGAGTGACTATTGTCGGCAGTCTCTTTTTCTTCGGCACCCTTTCCATTTGAACTGCGTGTTAACCAGCTGTACTATTATCGGCAACTCGAAATCAGCCGTATTTTGTAGTATGTATATTTCATTTAAAGAAAAATATGGTATAACAGGAATTCACAGTCGTAAAAATGTAATCAGATTGAAGCTGAAAAGGTAAGGAATCGGCTTAATACATTCAGCGAAGAGTTTTGATGGGAAAATACAGTGAAATAAACGTTTCAATTTCGGTTGCCGAAAACAGTCAATGGGTGCCGAAGCCATAATTTACCCTACTTGAATAACAAAAAAAATACTCAGAATGCATACATTACACTTTTTGTTACCAGGTGAATCTTTGGCATTCACGAAAAAATGAATGAGATTTTGGCAAAGGTTTTTTTGAGGATCAAGGCTTTCTATCAGTGACTATGTGAAAAACAATTTTATCAATATCGCGTGAAAGTCTGTCAATGACAATGACAAATCTCAGCACTGATGGGAACACTGCAATTTAAGCAAAAGGAAAGGTATGTCAATATGATCGAAAGCTTCTACGTGGTTAGCATTATCTATTACATTTAAAGAATAATCAACGAACGAACTAATAAACCGTTTTCATTTGATATCAGTATTCGAAATTTTATATTTTTGAGCGAAATCGACCTCTGAGAGGGCCGATTTGAAATAAGGGTCTCGCACGGCGAAACATAGATCAAAACAATCTGCACATGTCATGTGGATAGCTGGCTACGCTGAGGCTCTAAGAGCCAACAAAGAACGGGACCATTTGTACACCTGTTCCGACCGAATAACTTCGTTTTCGGATAGTCCGGTGCTGGTAACAACTGGGTCAAACGACACTACACCAAGGGTGCTGAACTGGTGGATTCAGTGCTGGATGTCGTCCGTAAGGAATCCGAGGGTTGCGATTGCCTGCAGGGCTTTCAGCTTACGCTCGCTCGGCGGTGGAACTGGCTCAGGTAAATTTTAATTTTTTTGTAACGTTGGCGGAATTCAGTAGCAAAAATACCTTTCTCTCCACAGGAATGGGCACGCTACTAATCTCAAAGATTCGAGAAGAATACCCGGATCGCATCATGAACCCGTTCTCCGTCGTTCCATCGCACAAAGTCTCCCCCACCGTCACAGAGCCGTACAACGCAACGCTTATCAGCTAGTGGAAAATACGACATTTGCTTCCGAACATTGCAGCTCACCAGCTGGCGATTTGAATCATCTAGCCTCGGTTACGATGTCTGGCGTTACCACGTGTTTGTACTTCCCGGGTCAGTTGATTACATTTTTTCTTGACCGGGTTTGCTCCCCTGACGTCGCGGGAATCGCAACAATACCGTACGCTGTCTCTCCCGGAACTAACGCAGCAGCTGTTTGACGCTAAAAATATGATGGCTCCTTCGGTTTTTTTACACGGTCGATATCTTACTGTGGCGGCCTTCTTCCAAGGACTAATGTTCATTAACGAGGTCGACGAAGCGATGTTTAACGCACAGATTTAAAACAGCAGGTATTTCGTGGAATGGATTCCCAGCAACGGGAAAACCGCCGAGTGCGTTTGAAAATGTCGTCCACCTTCATCGCCGGTTCAGGAAATTTTCAAACGCATAGCCGAATAATTTACGGCCATGTTCCACCGGAACGTCTTCTTACACTGGTACACCGGCGAGGGAACGGACGACATTGAGTTCACCGAACATGAACGACCTGGTTTCGGAGTACCAGCAGTACCAGGAGACGACGATTGACGAGAAAGGAGCGTTCTGCTTCCCCAACACAGTCACCAGAGAATCGTTTCTAGACGAAACATGTCGATGTAGCATTGCTGCTTCCCCAACACAGTCACCAGAGAATCGTTTCTAGACGAAACATGTCGATGTAGCATTGCTGCTTCCCCAACACAGTCATCAGAGAATCGGTAGTTGATGAAACAACTCGAAGTGGCATTCGCCCACGATCTTCGGGCATGTGCGAATAGGGAGGATGCAATTGCGTAACATTTTGCACACTCATCGCCATATTCAGATCCACACGCCCCCAACGACGACACAAAATGCTCTCCAGAGTTGTAATCTTGTAACCAAATTTGGAAGCAGGGGTGCAAGTGATTTTGATCGATTCTTTTCATCGACTTTCTGTTTCGTTAATAACTCGACGGCAAACACATTCATTGATACGTTTGTTGTTTTGGATGATATAAGAGCATAGTGCGAAATAGGTTAGTGAAGCCATCAAAAGAGGAAATCAATGAAGAGAATTGACGCCTCTGCTTCTAAGCCCCTTAATTCAGTCGTCGTCATAGCAATGGTTCTTGGCTTACACTTGCTGGTTGCAATTGATCATTTTGTCAAGCTTCTGCATTCATGTTCCATCAAATGTCACAGCTGTTGTTTGAGGTGACATCTATCGGAAACTACTCACAATCTGTTTTCCTATAATTGTTCACAGAGGATACTGCAGTGCAAAACATGTCTGGTACCTCTATATATGCATTTAGATTATTATTCGAAGACCCTCCTTTTTTACACATTCTGCACACAAAATAGCTCACCCCTCACAGAATTTCCCACCGAATTTTATGTATGGGGCGGGGATAAAGTATCTTTTGCGCAGAATATGTAAAAAAGGAGGGACTTCAAATGTTAAAGCAAATGCATATATAGAGGTACCAGACATGTTTAGTAGTGTTAGGTACTCTATTTTGTAATCACAAATCGAGTGTCAACAAAATACACCACACTCTCTGGGAGCTGGTAGTAAATCAGGTAAAACGGTATGGTGAAAAATCATTTT